AGGTCTGAGGTTTTCCTTTAAACCACTGTATAAGTAATAGCACCTTATTTTAATCAATACACCATAAACTTGTACTTAAGATTTCTTAAACGTTCATCTACAGGGGCATTAGTCATAAAGGGAACAATAACAGCATTTGACATAAAGGATGAACATGAGTTTTGGTGTGAAGCAAGGGGTGTGTTAGGTGTAAAATCAGTAGTGGTCATGGCATGATCATGGGAACGTTCAGTTGGACTGTTTGCATTACCACAGCTCACCACTTAATGCTTGTGGTCACTGAACTTCCTTCACAATGTGTTTTACACAAATGCATTGCTCCCGCGCTAATTTTTTCTCATTTATGCATTGTGACAATGATGCACGCTCCTCTGCAAACCTCATATTTCAATGCATTTCATTAACATGTAAGTCTGCCTCATCCTGTCAAGGTTAATGGAGAAAATCCTAGCAGGCTGCTGAGGGCTGTAGATGGGTAATTTCAGGCGCTGTGATAAGATTCCCATCATGTGTGGATCACCAAAGCCTGCTGAGATTCAATAAGACAGGACTGCATCATAATTTTAGCTCATTTTTAATTGCACGTTTGCAGCCAAGCTTGTGTGAACAACTGCACTTTTTTCAAGAACAGTAGCTTCAGAAGTGTCCTACAGAGAAACTGTGCATCTGTATTTCCTTGAGCATTTATTTTGCACACCAGACCTGCATGATTGGTATGTTTCTCTAGTGTTTTAGACCAGCGTATTAAAGACATACGGCATGTCCTCCAGCACCTGTGCATGCTCCCCAGTGACGTCTGAAGGAGGATGATGAAAGATCGCAGATGTTTGTGCAAAGGATGGTAATTCAGTCCTGAGTAAAGGCGACACCGAGCTGCAGACTTAATAAGATCTCACACACTTTTGTCCTGAAGCGCTTAGCCGTCTGTTCCAGAGAGCTGTCTTTCTTCCTGATGTATAGAGTTCTGTAGCCCTGACGTCAAAACCTGAAAACTAATTCAACACTGGTTCCCTCGAGAATTTCCTACGGGTTTTAATAATGGGGATTTTCAACTCATGACTCAAACAAGGTCATAAAATGACAATACTCAGGGTTTCTGCAGGCTTTAAGAAGGTAAACGTAAGGCTTTTTAAAGAGCTTTTAAGACCAAGTAAAGGAAATTTAAGAATAATCTGAATAATATAAAACAGGGAATAAAAGGGAACAAAATATGTCAGTATGATGTCTATGAATGTAAACGTCTCGGGAACACAACGAGTTGAATTCGCAATAGAGCCCGACCGATATGGGTTTTTTGGGGCCGATACCGATATTAGGGAATAGAAAAAAGCCGATACCGATATCTCGTTCGAGAGGGTTCCTCGAGCTGAAGAGATCCCCCGAATTTGGTGCGGATTCGCCGCGCCGTTATGGAGCTATGGCCGTTCAAAGTTTCAATGGTTCTTCTTCTTCTTCTTCTGATGTTTAATGGCGGTTGGCAAACCAGCTTTTCAGATTTATATTTAAAGTGAGGAATATACATGGCAGCACTTGTACGCCCAGTTTCTGGGTCTTTAGAACCATCTGTATACATTTGTAAAAATTGAAAGTAATGACGATCTAAATACTGCTGCACTATTGTCTCTTTCGGAACATATTTCTTGTTTTCGTTTATTAAATGTTTTAGTCCTACTGCAGCTTTTTGCTGCTTCTTGTCATGACACAACAACAGTAATCTGCCATCTCTCACCCTCTTTGCAATATCAATCTTGCCAACCGCTTCTTTCAGAGCTTTAGTTATGTTAATTGGGTTCAACACATTAGCCGATTCCGCAAGAAATTTAAGCATTACCTTGTACTCCTCTTTCGGTCTACTAACCTGTTTCCTTTCTCTTTCACTATCTGATCCAGATGTTTGATCCCTCATTTTTTTCCTTTTACGATTTTCCACTAAAGTCCAATTACTATTTTCAGTACTTTCTAATTCCCCGCCATCCATTCCATCCGTCTCCGGATCACGTCCTGAATCTACGCAACTTCCTTCCATCACCACCTCAGTCACACCCCAGTGTTCAACACTATAAATGAAACAGTTTCAATGGTTTTCCATTGACTTGAGCTTTAAAGCGTTTCATCCAGGTCGCCAGTAGCAAACAATGGAGTGCGCTCTGCTGGACAAACTAAGTAATTACACCATTTCAAGCATTTTATCTGCATTATATGTTCTGTAAAAAAAAAATTCATATCGGCGCCATATTCGCCAATACCGATATATCGGCGACAGGCTCATATCGGCCGATAATATCGGCAAAACGATATATCGGTCAGGCTCTAATTCGCAACACTTCAAAGATTAAAAACACAACTTCCATCAGATCTCCATAGCTCAAGGATTGAATACTGTGTTCCCAACCACTGGAATATGGAAATAAATAATCATAACTTTCACTGTACCTGCTAAATGTGCTGTTCATCTCCAGTATTTGTTCTTGTTTTCCAGCACAAATGCCTAAAGATACATTTACTGGAGAAGAAAAATGACTTAAGATAAGAAGTCTTGTTTCTGAGAAAGTGATCAAAATCATTAAAACAAGCACAGATATCTGCCAATGGGCTCAGAAAAAATCTACTTAATTCAAAGGGAAGATGAGGTGTTGACAGATGTGTGTTCTTGTTTTAAGCATAAATGTACAGTACGGTACAGTATCTTGATTTAAGGATATTATATATTTGTTTAGGAAAACAAACCGAAAAGACTGACAAAAACTTTTATTTTCAGTGCATGCAACATTGAATGCCACAACTTTATGATTTTAAGACTTTTATGCTCTGATTTAAGACCTTATGTTACCTTGTGGTCATCTGATGAAAGGTTTGTCTTAGTGTTTTGGTCAAGCAAACCCATTTCATATCACATAATGCAATCAAAGAAAATGGTAGGACTATAAAAAAATTATTTGAAGTCAATATGATTTTTTATTAAGTAAATATGAATTCTGTCATCTGTCGTTCCAAACCCATATGACTTTCTTTCTTCTGTGGAACATGAAAGAACATATTTTTACATTTTAATAAGGATGTCATTGTTTAGTTCTTTGGGGTTATATTTTTTATACATTCTTTATTAATAAAACTAAAAGAAAAGTTGTATTTATGATACTGATCTCCTGAAGCTGCACAGAAAGAGAGAGAGCGTGATCTGACAGATTCATCTGATCTCATGAAAGTCTGTGTGCAGCGTGGCATTATGGGTTCTCTAGAAAACACAGGCTTTGATGAGCGATCACCGTGTTCTAGGTCAGTTACTAAAAGCGCTGGTCTCCTCGTTCTGTGCGTCAGAACAATCTAAAGTGAGCAATCGCCGGGTTCAGGCCCTGATGAACTTATTCAACTTCTCTGGGACTTGCAATGACTTCAGGAAAACATAAAGCTGCTACTGAGAAGTTCACTGGTGCTTCTTATTTGATCTGTGCAACGCAGTTTACACAGTATTACCCAGACCTACCTTGATCTTTTGAAACAGGTTAATGTAATATGTACACAACTCAAAACTTCCTTTGCAGACCTAAAGAGCCTTTACTGAAACTAGCTGCAAAACAACCGGTCTAAATCTGTCAGCATGCGGTGACATCGGGCCTGTCCCCACACTCACACTTGTGGTCTCTGCACTTGACCACTTGTCTGCTTGCATGATGCATTTCCTGTATTTGGCCCAAGTGTTCAAGTGGACGTGAAGACCGCAAGTGTGTATGACTTTCGACTGTGCAATGGGACACACTTGAAACATAGTGTTGTAAAAGTCTAAGTAAAGTTTTTACTTTTTGCACGTTTAATTCTTTGCACTTTAAACCTCCAAACTGTTGTTTGATTGTCTCTATGAATGACAGTTTAATTGTGGTGCTTTTTAATTAATAAACATTTCACAAAGAGTGTGCATTAAGGACACTCAAGTGGCCGAGACCGCTAGTGTGGTTATTGGTGGACAAGCCCATTAATACACCATATTTAATTCAACACGGATGAAAACAAGAAACAGGCGCTGTACTTCAGTCCCTCACAGCCTCATTTAAATTCCTGCCAGAAAATAAACAATTTCATATTCAACTTAAATATGAAATTAAACAAACATACACGCTACTCTGACCAACATCTATTAGCCAAGCCACAGTTACCAACAAAGGAGGAAGAAAAGTTTCATTTTAAACCACACTCTAAAAAATGCTGGGTTGTTTCAACCCAACATTGGGTCAAATATGGACTAACCCAACCGTTGGGTTAAATTTTTACATTAAATTTTTAACCCAAAAGTTGGGTTAGTCCATATTTGACCCAAAGTTGGGTTGAAACAACCCAGCATTTTTTAGAGTGCAGTGAACACACGATTGCTTTAAAACAACAGTTCAATAAACAAAGTTAATATCAAGTAACTTACGTGCTAGACACAATATTCCAAGTTATACTTTGTCTGGTTTGTCAATTGAAATGGTTCCAAACAAAGTCCAAACAGCGCCAACATTGTCACTGGTGTTTTGTTCCTGAATGAATCGGTGTTTTGAACGAATCGATCGAGTAAACGATTCAAATGACTCACTCATAAAGACGTCACGTCGCCACCTACTGGTGATGTGATGAATGACTCACTGAAATCCCCACAAAATACACTGTAACAAACGAACAATGAACAAACACAAGACAGGAGAGAGAAGTGGAAAGTCCAGCGCTGTTTGTCTGTGGTTATATCAGCTTTATTGTTTGGTGCAATAAAACTTTCAAAGTGGACCAAAAGCTCTTGTAGATAGGTGATATAACTGGAACATCTAATGTGTGCCTTTATTTATAGAAATATTGTTAAAAGAGACGAATGATTTTGTAAATAATTTTGCCTCATGTTAATTAGACAGTAATATATAATCATGTCTGACAATTTAACAAATGTATTTTCAAAATCACTCACACACAAATTTGTGGAAACTGTGATACATTTTATTTTTCAGGATTCACAGATGAATAGAAAGTTCAAAAGAACAGCATTTATTTGAAATAGAACTCACTTTTGGTCCATTTAATGCATAATGGATACAATTAATTTCTTTCAAAAATGTCTTACTGGCTCCAATTTTTTTGTATGATTGTGTACATGGTTGAATTTTTTGATTATCTAGAAACTGTACAACAGAGTCTCAACAATAACATCGACTAGAGCATTCTGATGAAATCCTTCCGCAATATGATCACATTTATTATTATCATATAAAAATATACATGGGAAGTGTTCCACACAGAGACAGACAGACAGACAGGAGTCCCATCATGCTACACAGCTGCCAAAGCCAAATAATACTGTCAGGATCGGAGCATCAACACAACACTTCCACACACTCGCTCAAAACACGGCGGGACTGTCAATCATGCAGCTACATTGTGACGTCATCATCGAAGAATAGAACACTTTGCTTCTCTTTTCAACATAAAGGTTTGTTTTTGCAATACTTCATCATATGTAAAAAAAAAAAAAAAAAAAAAAAATCTATACACATACATTTATATAGATATATATATATTTATAAATTTATAAGCAAGGCATATTGTGTTCACCACTTCACGGATGAGCAGTATGATTGTCATATTTGTTTACATGGCTGGGTTCCTCGTTTTGTAATTTTTAAAAACTGATTGACATTAGAGGAACAATAAAATATTTCAAACACTATATCATACTTAAAAAAACAACAACAACAGGCTGTTTTTACAAAGGTACAAAAGTGTTGGAAAGCTCAGTGAGATCTGTCCTTCATACTGAGAGAAGAGTCTGGAGTGTGATTGCTGGTCGGTGGAGGTCAGAGGTCAGAGGTCAGAGACAGGAGGAGGGAGGAGAAGACACAGAGGGAGAGGGAGAGCGGAGGCAGCGCGGCGGAGCTGATGGTGGACAGCTGGAGCTCGGAGCGGAGGAAGGCAGACAGAGGCACCTGGGACACCAGCGTCGGGCTGGCCGAGTTTATGAGCGAGTCGATCTTCTCTGCCTCTTTACTGCAGGCTTCGATCTGCACAGGAGAGCACAGCACACGCTTCAGCACCGCCACAAATAGGCCATTCAGTCCTTGCAGACAGCTTTAATATATTTAGGCAAATCTGAGGAGCATCTGGAGCGTATGATGCAACCGCAGGAAAGCCTCCTCCACACGCTCCCGTCTACACTCACAGTTAGCCTGGGAACACAGACGCTGAGTGCTTTCATTCACACTACACTGGCTATCATTAAAAACCGCTTCATGGGAAAATAAAGTCTATGATATTAGTATGAGTGAATCATCTAGATAAAAGAATCATCTTTTCACTAGGGCTGTCTGATACATTTTTACTGTATAGAATATCGGTCAAATTATTTATAAAATGTATATATTTATGACATTTATTGTTATAGGTGATTATTAAATATTTAACTGTTATGTATTAAATATTAAATATAAATGTTTTTTTTTAGCAATTTTTACCTCTGTCAACATTCACTTAGTTAATCTCTAAAACACTAATAGTTTAATAACGCTGTTAAACGTAAATCTCATTTAATCCAAATTATTCTGTTTTTCATATTGTGCGTTATATTGTTGAGACGCCTAAATTCACTTTTTAACTGACTGATTTTAGATTAGAATTTTTAGTTTTAACTTCTTTATCAACTTAATATATAATGAAATTATTAAAACAATGAATTAATTAATTTACTTAGACAAAGTAAATAGAATCAGCCATTTACTGGATGTCGGCCATAATTCTCATTGTATTGTTTTGAATTTTTAAAATAATTTAAACTTATTTATTAACTTAATATATGAATAATTTTAAAAATAATATTAACTTATTTATTAACTTAATTTATAATTAAATTACTTAATTAAACTGTTATTTTTTTATTTTGACAAAATGCTACAGAATCAGCCATTTACTGGTTGTCGGCCATAAGCTTCATTATATTTTAAGATTTGAATTTTAAAAATAATTGTAACTTTTTATTAAAGTAATATACTATTAACTTATTAAATTATTAATACATTCTATTCTATATTCTGACAAAACGCTACAAATCAGCCATTTAAGGGTTATCGGCCGGCCACACCATGAAAATAACATCCCTAATTTTCACGTTCATAGTAAACACAGCAGGTTCAGATGGAGATGAGTTATTTTATGTTTTATTAATATTAGTGCATATTCCTGGATATTGATTGGTTTACATAGAAGCTAACTATGAACCTCTTAGCACATGTCGGCCATAAGCTTCATTATATTTTAAGATTTGAATTTTAAAAATAATTGTAACTTTTTATTAAAGTAATATACTATTAAATTATGAAATTATTAATACATTCTATTCTATATTCTGACAAAACGCTACAAATCAGCCATTTAAGGGTTATCGGCCACACCATGAAAATAACATCCCTAATTTTCACGTTCATAGTAAACAGCAGGTTCAGATGGAGATGAGTTATTTTATGTTTTATTAATATTAGTGCATATTCCTGGATATTGATTGGTTTACATAGACGCTAACTATGAACCTCTTAGCACAAGCTCTCATACTGCATCACGTGTGATTGATAATTACTACGCTGTATTTTACTGTACTGTATGTTTGATGAAGACACACCTGCAGCGGAGTGGGCTGCTGATCGACAGGCACGATGAGGAAGATGAGCTCAGAGTCAATGCTCAGATAACCGAAGATGTCACACTGAGGAACAGAGATATGCAGCCGCAAGATCTTCAGGATGTCATGAACCGTCACCGGCTGATTCCGGTTCAGCTGAAACACACGCGCACGCACACGCACACGCACACACACACACAGATACACACACAGATACACACACACACATACCCACACACACACACACACACACACACACACACAATATGCATTCATCTCACAGCACATATACACCTTTCCTCAACAAGCTGCGTAATTTAATAGTAACGGTGGAGATCGCAACATTGTATTCATTAGTACAGCATCGGCAAACGTTATTGAGCGTAACTGCTGCATTTATGAAATACAACATCTGTGACATTAGATTTTATTAAATGTTTTTGGAGGGAGGCCAGACCTCATATAGAAACATTCACTGTTAATAGTTCATAAAAGCACTGTTTCCAAACACACTAATCTGCTCAGAGATCTGGAGTGGCTGATGTAAGGCATGCTGTTCTGGAGAAACATGATCATATAGGAATAGTCAGCTGGTGCATTTATGCTATTAAATGATCCACACTGCCTCCTGCTGGCTGCCTGATCTCAATGCGCTTGGCCAAAATCACAGGACACTTTAAACATGACCAGCTCTCAGCTCTGTGCAATGCAGAATGAGAAGATGAAACATTTACCTTAGCGAAGCTGTTCATCTGTGCTTTATTCCAGAGGATCTGCAGCATTCCCGCACACACCGGACAGCAGGCACCTGCACACATTCACAGCAGTTTATCTCGATTAGTTTTACACAAATGATATCCCTCATAGATAGCCCTGAAAATCACTATATCCTCCTAATAGTTCATTCTGAGTGCTTCTCAACCAGGGGGCCGCAGGGTGACTCAAAGTATTTCAATTATTAACATTTTAAAATAATCTAATCATAACACTAACATAAAATACTAAAAAACAAAACAAAACATAAAATCAAGATATAAACTGAAATACTCCCTAATATCAGCGCTCCGACTTTTTGTTAATAAAAATGTTTAAGAACAAGCATCTTTGTCTTAAGTACAACAGAAATGCTGGAAATATCTTATTATACGGGAGCACCTTCAGATATTGTGTTGAACAGCAGAGGGCCTTTGACTCAAACAGTTTGACAACAATTGTTAAGAGTGAAGTGTGTGGTGGGAAACTGTAATTGCAACTTTTTTTTATCTAACTATTCAGATTATTTCCTGAGATATGAACTCAAAACTGAGAGATATGAACAGAACTGAGATATAAACTCATAATTCAGTTATCTCGAGATATAAATGAGATGTAAACTCAGAATTATAAGATTTACACTCAAAATTATGAGATATAAACTCAAAATTGAGATATAGACTCAGAATTGAGATATAAACTCAGAATTGAGATATAAACTCAGAATTCAGATATAAACTCAGAATTATAAGATATAAACTCAAAATTGAGATATCAACTCAGAATTGAGATACAAACTCAGAATACGCAGAATTGAGATATAAACTCAGAATTATAAGATATCAACTCAAAATTATGAGATATCAACTCAGAATTATAAGATATAAACTCAAAATTATGAGATATAAACTCAAAATTATGAGATATAAACTCAGAATTATAAGATATAAACTCAAAATTATGAGGAGATATAACTAAGAATTATAAGATATATGAGATATAACTCAGAATTATAAGATATAAACTCAAAATTACGAGATATAAACTCAAAATTGTGAGATATAAACTCAGAATTGAGATATAGACTCAGAATTGAGATATCAACTCAGAATTGAGATATACAGTAAACTCAGAATTGAGATATAACTCAGAATTATAAGATATAAACTCAAAATGATGAGATATAAACTCAGAATTGAGATATAAACTCAGAATTATAAGATATAAACTCAAAATTATGAGATATCAACTCAGAATTGAGATACAAACTCAGAATTGAGATACAAACTCAGAATTATGAGATATAAACTCAGAACTGAGATATAGACTCTGAATTATGAGATATAGACTCTGAGTTTCCTCCTGTATGTTTCTCTGGGCGGTGGAGCGGCTCTCACCGAGCGGTGTGACGGGGTTGCAGGCTTGGCTGGAGAGCGGAGGGCAGGGAACAGCGTTGCAGCCCGAGTCTGACGTGAACTCTGACAGGACACCGACCGCATGACAGCGGCCCTGATAGTCCACAGCCACACGGTCCGAGAACGCTTCACACACCGTACTGTAGGTCTCCCCGTTATGACCACACACCTCTCTGGGCTTCCTGCAGGCATCCTGAGCACGCACACGCACACGCACA